TTCATGCGCTATAATATAAAAGACATATTTATACATTAATTTAGGAGTGAATTTATCACTGACCCATAAACATTTCAAATCCATATCATCCTATCACCACAAGGGTCTAACAAAGCATTCAAACTATCTCACAAAAGAAATCATAAGTTTTTTATTAAATTCAAGCCAATAATAAGAGTGACAATCCGTAGTGAACCAGATAAATTCGACAAGGAGGTTGAAAAATGAATAAATGAAGCATAAATAAATTAGTGATTGAGGTTTGATGATTTTAATTTACGTTAACATATTTTTCTTTATTTTTTATGGTTAAAATAGTGAACCAGTGGATTAGTTAAACCGCGGTGGTTCATCATTTTGTTCATCTCTAGCTGTCCAATCAAATGAACCAAACCACTATTGTAACTGGTTTAGTGATTCTACTGACCCAACCGTTGATCCAGTTTGGCACTTATACGAAGAAAACTAATAAAATAATATTTGAAGCCTACAATAAGTGAATATGACAAAATTTAAAAATTTAGAGAGCTTAACTCAACATTTCATTCCAAAACTTATACTAAACACAAATAGTGGAATTACTTAATTGAATAGGAATATAAATAAAAATAACATTACCTTGCAATTGCATTCCTGCTACACCAGCGTAACATTGCTATTAAATAGCCACAATTGCTACGGACATTAGTGCAGAGAAGGCGAGATAAATAATCCTACACAATAACTAACTCTCACCCAACTACTATATAATTCATGGATTAGAGACACCTACTAATCCCACCCAGCCCTTCCTAGCTTATTATCTGTAAACTTATGAATTATTGGATGTATTCTTCCACGACAACTGCTATTGTCACTGCTCTTTAACTCGCACATGTACGTCCTTATTCAAACATTGTTTATATTTTACTAAATTTAGTTTCTTTTTCCTACTCACTACCCAATAACAATTCCCGAGTATGTAATTCTTTTTATTTTGAATTTAAAATAGCATCATTGCTTTAACTCTAATCACAAATCTAATATAAAATTTGGGTGCAGTGGATTGGCTGTCAATGTAACTCTTTTTGGTAGGATAGTTACCCAATTAAATATCATCCTTGCGAATGGGAATGAACGCCCCCTCGTCCATGCCATTACATCACTATATGTCATTCCCTACAATGGTAAGGAAACATCTTTATTACTTTGTCATTGTCAATCAAACCATTTGCAAATACAAATTACATTTATTTAAACGATCGTCAAATTTTCAAGCGAGAAAATCTGCTCCTCATATGGAGTGACTTCGCTGTTGATGAATCCATGAATTCCAGATTTCATTAATTTTGGGCCAAAGTGAAGTTCATGACAATTTAATCACCGTATTTGATTGTGCATTATAAATTTGAATTTAATAATAGAAAATGGATTAATTATCATTCTTTTTTTATTGAAAAAGTGACTGAGATTAACCAATTCCTCCGTGAAAAGCACGAAAGCACCTCAACAACTAATTTCAAACAAAACACAGCAAACACTAAATCAATTAAAAATGAACGATGGAAAAGAGGCAATATCAAAACACAATAAACACCCATTAACAATCAAATGCTAAATTCTACTCTAATAAAAACAAGGAAGAGATTATTGAAATGCAAGAGAAAAAAAAGAAGAGGAAATTGAAAATGGAGATAAATGTATCACTTACAGAGATGAAGGCGTTAACATTGGTGCAGATGATGATGATGGAGGAAGTGCAAATAAGTCAAAACGAAAATGTGCAGTAATCTCTGGAGATGAGTAAATATAGTGGTGATTTTAAAATGTTTTAGGAGTCAGTTTGGGTTTGTCTTTCATTTTTGTAAAAGAATTTTAATAAATGGGTGAGTTACAATGTCGTTAATTCTTATTATATTGACCATTTTCAACAAGTACTTTAATAATATGGATTCTCTTATTCTATAAATCAATTTGAATGTTTCGAGTATTTGAGTAATTTAAATTTTCTTATACTATAAAAACCCGTGTATGTCACATTCAATTTGATAATGTTGTTTATGTAATTGGCTGCTGAATCTAGCCAACTGGTCGGGTTCGTGACTAGTAATAGTAGTGGTGATTCATATTTAAGACAACAAATTTTATAGGTTTTGTACCCTTGTACTTTATCTCGTAACTCGGCCCTAAATATAATACACACAGTAGTGATCAGCAAATTAGTGGAGCAGTCAAATGGAAGGTGTAAAACAAAAAAAAAAGAGACAGATCCGTTATACACAATAATATTGCACTTGTACTTGCACAGATTCTATCCGTTTCATATACACAATTTTGTATTGGTTTGGGTTGAGTGGTTTTCTGGCAAAAGAATTAAAAGGAACGATCCACGATCTTCCTTTTTCCTACAGAACTGTGACAAAAGATCAACTTTTAGATAGGGATTTGTGTATTAATTAGTGTTGCCAATTAATTAAACTCCAACCGGACCGCCTCTCTGTAATACAGTGAATTAAACAAATTAGGCAAATGTATCACTGCTGATCTCTTTCTTTTTGTTTTGGAATAAAGATCAGTGTTGATCATCACTGTAAAAAGGGCGTAAGAGGGCTGCTTTTGTTGTTTGGACATAATTTCTCTTTTGGGACCCCATCCAAAAGGAATGGATAGGAAATTAGTAGGAGCAATATCTATTTTTTAAATGGGTGGGAGGCATTGTTCCTATAAAAGAAGTATTACATGGTCATTTATTGATTTTTTCTTTGGCGCAAATGAGTGATATGTCCAAATGTTGTAAGTGTTTAACATTTATAATAGTTGAATTTGGTGGTAACAGATTGTCCTATCGATTGTAAATTTGTCCCACAGTTGAAAACACATATAACATGTGACCGACATTCAAACTGCAATCGATCTTGTCCCCCGTAGAGCTAAAACACAATACATCATTACAGATCCCTAGGGACTCCCGAGGAGAATGATTTGCGACCTCGCTATCTGATTCTTATAATGAACTGAGGGGGTTGTCGAGAGGTCAACAACTTGGTTTCCCTTGTTTATGACAAGGTGAAACTTTTGTAGTTATAGAATTATTTGTTCATGTACTTTCCTGTTTTTTTGACATAACATCAATACTAACAAGTACTTGAATGAAGTCCGAAAGTAAAAGATTTACATGGTATGTGTAATTAACCACTCAAGAAATAAAGCTTGGTTTAGATAAACGAAAGAGAAAAACAATTTCATATCACCAGCTTCTATCAAGGTGTGTGGTTCTACGCAACCAACCTATACATATATATAGTATTGCATTAAACACTTATTGATAATCATTTTTCAAGTCAATGAAATTCGTCCAAATCTTCTTTACATTGTTTTGAATAAAATCTGCAGCGTAAATTGCAAGTTTGGTCACTGGAATTACTAAAAAGTTTCACGTTTGCCACTGAAATTAATTTATTCCATTCATGGTCACTAAGATTAGTTCAACAGTTCAAGTTTGGTCACTCTCCGTTAGTCTCCGTTAACTTTATCTGACGTGGCGGTCAACTCTGACAGTTGACCGTTAAATAAATGACGTGGCAATTAAAAAATAAAAAAAATCTTTTAATAATTCCACCTCATCATCATAATAAATTAAAAAAATAAAATAAAAGTTATAATTATAATTTTAGGAAGGGCAATGGCCAATGGAAGCTCGTCCTCTGCGTCGTTATCAGCCTACGCCGGAAACTGCCTCCAAGCCCGCCATCTGTCTTCCCATTCATCGGCCACGTCAGCCTCTTGAAACCCCCAATTCACCGCACCACCATAACCCGAGCCCCCTACGGCGACCACTGGCGCAACCTCCGCCACATTGGCGCCATGGAGATTTTCTCCGCCATCATGAAGCTGGTACTAAGTACTAACTTATGGTTGAGGGGTTGAGTTCAAAATTGCAGTATTCCTCCTTCCAAAACACTCTGTTCTCTTGTGGTTTCCTCTGTTTTATTTCTTTTGGACTTTTGTCCCTGCAGCTGAGTTCTTGAATCTTCAACAGCATGTTTGTAAGCAATTTCCTCCACCAACTAAGCTTCAGATCTTCATTTGTTATTGTTTGCGTTGAACTAATCTAACTAATTAATCAAATACTGTTGGAACCAGACAGTAACAAAATGTAAACCTGCAAAGTAAAGATGCTATAGTTATACACATGCATTAAAATAAGTTAAATAATGGATCGAGTTAGTTATATATTGTGGGCATGCCGAATTGCAGATGCATTAGTCGCACCCGCAGTCGGGAAGAACCCACCCGACGATACCGGCGATGGAAGTGAGAGCACGGCGGCAGCTATTGACTCTGTGGTGGGTGAAACTCCTCTTCTGACGTCCAGATCGCAGTTGCCCAGCCCTGCAACGACGAACCAACAGAACCCAATTTCATGTGTATGGTAAAGACTAAAGACTCTGTCTATGGAAGCAGGGCACGAATCTGGAAGGAATTTTGTGTTGTTTGTTTTTGTGATAATTTCTTTGAGATAATGATGTGTAATTTCTTTTTTTCATTTTTTATAATTATAATTTTTTGTGATAATGATGTGTAATTTCTAAAAATTTAATTTTTATTTGCCACGTCACACATTTAACGGTCAACTGTCAGAGTTGACCGCCACGTCAGTTAAAGTTAACGGAGGTTAACGGAGAGTGACCAAACTTGAACTGTTCAACTAATTCGAGTGACTATAAATGGAATAAATTAATTTGAGTGGCAAACGTGAAATTTTATAGCAATTCGAGTGACCAAACTTGCAATTAAGCCAAAATCTGCATATTGATTACTTTGGCTCTTGTGGATGATTGGCCACGGGCCTTAAACACTTATCCCCGCCGCTCAGCCTAGCCCATCTCAACTAAGGGTAACGGAAGCCCGAATCGAGAGGCCGAATCGTCTACGCCTACGCAAGTCAAGTCCAACCTAGCCCAGCCCAGCCCAGCCTTGCTTTGTAGCAAGTCGGGCAGTCAATAGATTCGAGAGGGAATTGGGAAAGCCAAAGCCGAAGGAGACACAGACACGGGAAGCAGAGCCACCGCGAGCGGAGACTCTCCCAGGGACCGGCTTCCACCGTCACGGACCACCACCAGCGCCACCGGATCTCGTTCCTCTTCGTTCCGGTACCTTACTTCCGATTCTCGGACTTCGATTGCTTTCCGATCCCCTCGCTCGTTCCTGTTTCTATCCCGTGTAATTATCTGCTTGTTGGTCACCATCCAAAATCCCCTCGCTTGCTTGCTTACTCGCTTCATTCCTTCACTTTCGATTGCTCCCGTGATTACCCTTTTTTCCGGTGGGTCCAGAAATTGATTTTCCCTTGCTGATACCCCTCGCTGTGAGCTCCGAAGTTTGTGAACCGCTGCTGTATTGCTTGAGTTGGGTCTCCTCTTGCAAGTCCCGCCACCAATATCCGTTCTTAACCTCTTCCTCATGTTCTTTCCATTTGCATTCCAGGGATTCCCTGCTCCTATGGATCACAGGTGGCACAACAGCAAACAGGAAAGTATCCCCAGAGATAAGCGCCATCTCGATGCAGACCAGGTGACCTGCTTTTTGATAGATGATATAACATCAATGAACTGGTGAATGTATTAGTTTCGCCTTTGGGAGTGGTTGGTGCATGGGTTATGCAGTGCCTTCATGGAGTTCAGTAGAATTTTATCTAATTGTCATTTTCTTCTTGGATGCTTATCAGGAATCTGTGATTGAAGATCTGGCGGGGGGCTTCTTCTTACCCATTAACCACAGACCCACAGAGAATGTGGATCTGGACAATGTTGAGCAAGCATCACTTGAAACCAAGCTGACAGCATCTAATGTTGGTTTCAGACTTCTTCAGAAGATGGGATGGAAAGGAAAAGGACTCGGGAAGAACGAGCAAGGTATGCTTAACTCTACTAGATCATGCATGCTCCTCAAATATGTTGAAAAGCAAGTGTTCTTATTATCATTCTTGCTTCATCTCGGGTTTCAGCTTCAGCTTCCTGTATCTTTTTGTTTATAATGTTCTGTTTCCTAGTTCTTAATGCTCTAAAAACGCTCTGTTAGACAGGATGTATCTAGTTAACCTATGAAATTGGTGGCATTGTCTGAATGGGATATTTGAGTTTAGGATGCTTGCTTTTATCTTTCATTGGTTTGCGATAGTTCCGAGCAAATTGATTTGTTGAGTCCATGTATGGACAGCTTGTGCTTTGGTTACTTGAGTAGGTGAAACATACGGGCATATATGTGTTTAGTGGCTCTTTTTAGACTGTAGAGCTCGCATACTTTCTCTCTTCTCTCTGGAGGCAATAATGAGGCTTTCCTGTGTAATGTTTAGCTCTGCGCTCCAATGTTAGTGCGCTCCATGTATATAAAAGAGGGGAAAATATGAGGTTTTTTATGGGTTGGGACTTGGGCGTCATAGTTGCTCTTTGTGTTGTCTATTTGGAACTATGTGTAGGTTACATTGATTTCTTAATTCGGTATGCATTCAGGAATTGTTGAGCCAATCAAATCGGGAATTAGAGATCCAAAGTTAGGGATTGGAAAGCAAGAGGAAGATGACTTTTTCACTGCTGAAGAAAATATCCAACGCAAGAAGCTTGAGATTGAAGTTGAGGAAACTGAAGAGCATGCAAAGAAGCGTGAGGTACGCCTGGTTTTTACCTAGTCAAGATATAACTTGCATTTACTCTTTTGCTTGTCTCAACCCAATCTAATATCAGAAGGCAGCATATATTACATATGCATGTCTTTTGACTGGAATTATATATCTTAGGGGAACATCAACTTTGAAGATCTTGAGAATTTCCTGCAGTTTTTATTACCTGGTGGCTTCTACTCCCTGCTTCGTGCAAAATTATTAAAATTCAGGTGCTAGCAGAACGGGAGCAGAAAATTCAAACCGAGGTGCAAGAAATCAGAAAGGTGTTCTATTGTGACCTATGCAAAAAGCAATACAAATTGGCTATGGAATTCGAGGTTCACCTTAGTTCATATGATCATAATCACCGAAAGGTATGCTGCTGTATGTCTTGTTCATGAAAAGAGTTCCTTGACTCTATATTTATTCATCCAAAGTAAACAATCCCTTAAAATTATGTTCTTCCAGAGATTTAAAGAAATGAGAGAGATGCATGGTAGTAGCAGTCGGGATGATCGACAAAAGCGAGAATTGCAGCGACAGGAAAGAGAAATGGCTAAGTTTGCGAAAATGTAAGTTACAATCATCACTGTCTTTTACTGTTTACATCTTTGCTGAAAATTATCACTTGCTTTGGTAAAAGGCAAGGGGCAGTTCTTTCTCAGTAATCTGTATCTCTTCCTCTTGTAATTGTTTTTGTTTGCGGAAGCAATGCAGGGCAGATGCACATAAACAGCAGCAGCTTCAGCCACGAGAGGAAGAATCTGGATCTTCAGCACAAGTTTCCTGTTCAGTGAAAACTATTGTTGATCAGGATCAGCGCAAGGCATTGAAATTCGGGTTTGCCTCTAAAAGTGGCACTTTAAAGGTACAAATTTATGTTCAGCAAGGAATTCAGTATGAAATGGGGGAACAAGGTTCATTTGAGATTTTAGGTAAATGTACATTTGTGCAGTCAGTCAGTAACTAATCGTGTGAAATTTGACAGAAGTCGACTCCTGCTAGTGTTGGTAAGAAGCCAAAAGTGGCTCTTGCCTCTGTTTTCAACGATGATAGCGAGGAAGAGCAGTGAGCATTGAGGAAGTCTGGCGATTCACATGTACCAGAGAGCCACCTTTCTGTAGAAGAAGTGCACATTGTGTACCACTATTGTGTAGAAAAGAACACAGAGCAGAACTATCACTTGGTTCCTACTGTTTCGGACTTATAGTAACTTGTTATGTGAGTGGATGACGAAGCTTTATTTTGGCAGTAGAAATGCTCCTGGAAAGAATGGTTTTTGTTCTTATGTTGATAGCGAGTAAAGCGTGGTGCTAGAGACATAGCGGTGTGTTGTTACAATGGAGAAATAGCATCATGTACAATGTACTTCCAGGTCATAATTGTTTCAATTGTAGCTGGCACAGAGGGCCAAGTAATCATGGGATATCAAATTCAATAAGGATCATACAGTCGAGATAAAATGCGGCATCAACACTTCTGGTTCTCCACTACTGTACATTGTTATTATTCTTCACACGAAACATACATCTCGTACTAGCTCGAGGAGGTAGAAAGCTGCAGCACCATTGTTTTGGAGTGTTATTCAACAGCATATGTACTCCGGCGACACCAAGTAGCTGTAATCCCCCTGCCTTCCATGATGCGGAGATGTTGATCTTTTAGTCATGCGGCTTCAGCAAAACCCAGTTGCAGGTTACCAGAGTCGAACACCGTATGATACACACCCATGAACACATCTCCAAGAACCCTGCAATTAGAGAGCTCAGCTCTTGCAATACTTTCATTCCATCACTCCAAATATCATGAATACATCTCTAAGCGCTACGTACCACAAAGGACCTTGAGGAGGTGGGACGTCAAAAACCATGAACCCACTGATGCAGATCTCTTTAATGCCTTCCTCGATCTTCACAACATACTGCACATTTTACAAGCAAACAATCAATGAATGAATAATAGGCTGCTGCAATCCAGTCATATGTGACATGAAACTCTCTTCAGTTGCCAAGAAAAACAATCCTTACCTGCTCCGGAGTGAGGATGAAGAGTTTCTCCCCTATGGTCAAAGAGACATTGGGCATGGTTGGCAGGCTGTTGCAATCAACTATGGACTCGCCTGATGGACTCGGCAAGCTCTCACACAGCTGTTAGGGAAAAAAACAGAATGATCCAGCCTCAGTGATGGATTTATTTCCCAGAGTTAGCTAAATGTGTAACAAAGCTTGCCTCGCTGACGTAGTTGAGGACTGCATCCTTTATCTCCTTGTGTTTGAGTTGGTTCCGGACCCAGATGACTAGCAGCTCACAAGCAGTGCACAGAAGGTCATTGTTAACTGATGCTCCCTCATTTTCCTTCACCACTTGCTCAATCTGAGAACTAACAAGTAATAACCATGCACACGCATAGATAGGCAACAGATCATGCATATAGTTACTAAGGGTAAGGGTCAAAGTTGAACGTTTCATGCCATCACTAACTGATCAAAGTTCATTAATCATTACCTCACATACTGAGCCCCATTGAACATGCACACGCCAAGCTGTGAACATACTTGATCGGGTTTTACCTGATCAGAGTAATCATCCACTATAACAATTGCTCCGTGAACCAACCCAGGCAGAGAGAAAGTGAGCCTGCATGTGTGTGTTTGTGTCTGAAAACTAACTCACCCCTAAAATCAAGAGATCCCATATCATGTCCCCAAACTGACTAACCACTTTCTTGCACTCTGCACTCACAATCCCTTCAGCACCAATGGCGTGATTGATCTCCGTGACAATACTCTCCAATGCATAATGAGTTCATCCATATTAAAAATCAAAAGCAAAAGGAGAAAAAACGGCACCACCAAATTTGATACATTTCGCGAAATAGCTGGAGTAAACATGTACTAACAGTTGGACCAGCAAGTAAGGATGTCCCAGAATCCACAATTGCACCACAACCCCCTTCACAAACGCCTAATGATTATGTCCGGAAACTTTGTTAAGACCCTTTTTAAAGCTCACCAAATCAGATAACAAGAGAGCAGCAGGGATAAATTAAGCTACAAACCTGTAGAGAGGTTTCCAATCAGGAAGTCCCCCATGTTGAACTGAAATGGAAGTCCAAAAGTAGAAAAAATTAGAGAGTGCAATGAGGCAAAGGGAGATCAAATTTAACCAAAGCAAGCTAAATTAACCCATCCTACCTGCCAGTAACCCTTTTGAATGACAGGGACATAAGTATGGTTTCCTTTGAAGTGCTTCGGATCACTGCCACCAAAAACTAGCTCGCCCCCCTCTAGCGCATTTGGATCTCGATTCAGCCAAAACGAGAACACTTCCTCTTTCACAAGACGTTGCTGCACCATGTTATACCTTAGCATAATACCCAGCATGAAAATGAGCATCATTTTGGAGAAGTTTAACCACGCTGGAAGATCACCATAAAATGGAAATACCAACCAGACAGGGACGGCATCCCCAGCAGACATTTCCTGAAACCCAAGGCCAAGAATTCCATCAAACTTAGAAACCAGAAGGGATATACTGCCTTCTCGGGTAGCCTCAATAAAAACCTGCAACATCAATAGATCAATTAGAGTAAGCACTCGGCCGTTAAGCTCAAGAGTTGCAAATAACCCTAAATCGATCCAAATGTCTAGATTAACAATGCCTAGCCAGCTCTAGCTAGTAGATACCAAAATACTAACTTGATCCTCGACGAGAAGATCTCCAAGCTCAACGTTATCCTGACCCAAAACCCCAGATATTGATCCAGACCCATAGTTGATTTCACAAGATTCTCCTGTATTATACTGTGATAAGTTCATTAGAGTGGCCAGGAACATGAATGATTGAAACAACTTTAAGTTACTTGTCAATGAAACAATCAAAGGTAGCGGACAACAATAAGGAATCTACCGTTGGTGTGGTATGTTGCTGAACGGGTAGTGTTGTACTTGGAGTGGAAATAGCATGGAATCTGCAACCGAGAAATACACAGAATCATTGATTAAGGTCATAGACAGATAGATGAAGCCTCAGAGCAGAATGAAGATACATACAGAGAAGTAGCATTTGGAGGAGGGAACCCAGAGATTGGAGCTGCCGGTGTCAAAGACAACGGTGAATTGCTGGGGAGGGGTGCCGATCCCAATTTCTCCGAAGTACTGAGCATTGAAGTAATTCTTCAGAGGAAGAGCGCTAGCACCATTTCCACTATCACCGACGGCGACGAGGGATGCTCGTCCTCCTGCTCCTGCCGCTGCCTTTGCCTTAACATCCTCAAGACGGAGAGGACGCTTCCTGAGGCTCAGTCTCACTAAGCCGCCGGCGTCAGCTGCTCGAGCCTCAGTAGTTGGGAGATTGAAGTGTAAAAGTTCCAGGCAGCATGAGATGAGGATGACGATGGTGAAGGCCACCCACCCAACTCTTGTCTTGGACTCCATAGTTCTAGCAGAAGTAGCAGATTGTCAAGTGAAGGAGTGTTCGTGTCCTGGTTTTAATCGCCGGAAACGTGGAAAATAGAAGTTGGGACATTTACGTTGTCGCTTTTCATTGGCCTGAGTAGGGCAGAAAACTCGAAATTCCTGACATTTACCCCACCCATGGCCTACTGAAAACTATATTTATCTTCGTAATGTTCACAAGGGCACAGTGGAAGACAATCCGGCCTCCTGCAGACTATTAGATGATAAGGATCATTCTGTAAATAACCAGATAGCTTAGGATTAGTTCAGTAATAGTATAATGTAAATACGACCTATAATGTAAAATAGCTAGGTTATTACAACGGTATTTCCCTCCGTTGAGCTCTGTAACCAGAGTATAAAATCAGCTTTACAAGCTGAACTCTGTACGTTTTTCTTCCTTTATTTGAGAAATTCTTCCTTCAATCAGAATTCTAGCATGGTATCAGAGCTCAACTGAGCCGATTTCGTCTCAACTCTCTCGCTTCCGAATCTTCTTCTCGTAATCGTTCTCCTATGGCGATTCACGATTCTTCCTCTTCCGGCGACGATGCCCACCCTGCAAATCCTCACACTAGAGGTCGCTCCATTGGCATCAATGGCGTTATGTACAAAGGCATTCCAATTTCAGATCCTGCCTCACCATTCTTCATTCATCCCTCAGAGAATTGGGGGCAATGTCTCGTCTCTCAACCACTTACTGAGAATAATTTCTCGAGTTGGGAGCGTTCCATGATTCTTGTCATCGATGGCAAGAACAAATTAGGGTTCTTGAATGCCAAAATCCCGCAGCCGAGCGATGATTCTCCTTTGTTGGAGCCATGGAATCGCAATAACAAGCTTCTGCTCAGCTGGATTCAACGATCTGTGAATCCCACCATTGCTGAAAGTATCCTCTACGTGACCACTGCTATCGGTACTTGGACAGAGTTACGAGAGCAATTCTAGCAAGGCGACTCTTTCCGAATTGCAGATCTTCAAGAAGCCATTTTCAATCTTAAGCAAGGTACTCTTAGCGTTTCTCAGTATTACTCAAAGCAAAGAGCCTTGTGGGATCAGTTAGCCAACTAGAGGTTTATCCCTGATTGTGAATGTGGAATTACCTGTCACTGTGTCTTAGCCTCTTTGCGTAAAGATCATATGAATGACAAGGTTATTCGCTTCTTGAGAAATCTCAATGATAGCTTCAATGGTCCTCGTTCCACCGTGATGCTACTTGATCCTTTACCTCCCATCAACAAAGTGTTTGCTATGATGGTGCAACACGAAAGGGAGAATGGATTACTACCTAAACCACAGCCTGCTCACAACCCTGCTTCAGATAGCATGGCGTTCTTCACTAAAGTAGCTGGACAGCATCTGGGTATACAGGGTGTTGGTCAGGGTTTCAAGAAGCAAGGCAAGAAACCTGTGTGTACATTCTGTGGATACACTGGCCACACAGAAGACATCTGTTACAAGAAGAATGGTTATCCTCCTGGATACCCATCTAAGAAGAAGCAACAGCCTCCTCGACAGGCCAACAGTGTCTCTACTGATCTTACTCAGCCTTCTAATGGGGCGGTAATGATCAATCAGTCTGACTGGCAGAGTTTTCAGCAAAACTATTAAAGGATGCTTCACATTATGCAGCCTTACTCTCAACAGCCCTCTTCTACTCAGCAGACTGCTATCCAATCGACTCAATTCTCTGCTCCTCCACAGCAGCAACATTTTCCACCACCATCTGCTTTTCAAGAAGCATATACTGCTAACAATCTAGCTCATTATTCAGCTTCCAATGATAGTGAGGGTTCTGGTCAGCACAACATAATCATCAGAGCAAATTATGTTGTTTCTCATGGTTTTGAACCTACTGAGCAATCAGGTATCATTCATTATGCTTTGAATGTGAATTGTTCTCTTAATAATAAGTGGATTTTGGACATTGGGGCTACATATCATATTATCTGTTCTTCCCATCATTTTTCACACTCCAAACCAGTACAGAACACTTATGTTCATATGCCTAATGGCAGTAAAGTGATTGTCACAGCAATAGGAACTGTTAAGTACTCAGATCATCTGATTTTGTATGATGCTCTGCTTGTTCCTTCTTTCACTTTTAATCTAGTTTCTGCTAGTAAACTAGTTCGTAGTACAACCATATGCTTATGGTTCCATTACTCCTTGTGTTTTATTCAGGCATACCCCAGTTTGACAATGATTGGAACGGCTAGCTTAGCTGATGGTTTGTACATACTACACCATCCATCTCAAACTGCACAACTCCAACATAATTTGCTTCTTAACACAACTCAAGCACTACCAACATCTTCTCCTACAGTGGCTTTTTCAACATCACGGCCCTCTATTGACATCTGGCACTACAAACTTGGTCACATTCCAGCAACTAAACTCAGGAATCTACATTGTTTAGATAAATCCATTCCTGTTCTTTCTGATTTTCATTGTACAATTTGCCCTAAGGCAAAGCAGAAGAGACTTCCATTTCCCACTAGTATCAGCAAAACAACTGCTCCATTTGATGTTGTACATGTTGATATTTGGGGAAATGCCCCAGTCACTTCAATTCAAGATCATTCATATTGTTTGACCATAGTTGATGACTATAGTAGGCATACTTGGATTTTCACTATGAAATCTAAATCTGAGGCTCGTCCCACTATTATTTCTTTCTTTGATTTTGTTGAAACACAATTTAACAGCAAGATTAAAGTCATCAGAACTGATAATGGTCTTGAGTTCCAAATACCAAATTTTTACAAATCAAAAGGAACCATACATCAAACCACTTGTGTCTATACTTCTCAACAAAATGGAATTGTTGAAAGAAAGCACCATCATATACTGGCAGTCACTAGGGCCTTGCTCTTTCAAGCCTCACTCCCACTACAGTTCTGGAACTTTGTAGCAATGCATGTTGTTCACATTATCAACAGAACTCCCACCACTCTTTTAAACAATCTTACCCCTTTTAAAAGCTTAATGGTTCTCCACCTACTTTGACCCATTTAAAAGTTTTTGGTTGCCTTACATATGCTGCAACTATCCAAGCAACCAGAACTAAGCTTGATCATAGAGCAAACCCTTGTGTTTTCCTAGGGCACCCTCTTGGCACAAAAGGGTTCAGATTATACAACTTAATTACACACAACATTTTCACATCACGTGATGTCTCTTTCCATGAAACTATTTTCCCTTTTCAACAGGTTAATCAAAATTTGACCCCCTCAGTTCTTCTTCCAGTTTTTCCAGCAGTCTCTGCAGACCTGGATTTCACTAAAGCTCACACTACTTACCCATCTTCTGTCCCCTCTCAACTGACATCATATCCTCCTATTGATGCTCCAGTTTCAACTATCACACTCCCTGATTCCTTACCTGCGAATCAACCTCAATTAAGAAGGTCTACTAGACCTATTGTCAGACCTGCTAAACTGAATGATTACACGTGTAATCTGATCAGTCAGCCATCCTTGATTTCTTCTGTCACTTATCCTATTCAACAAACGCTTACATATCGATCTCTGAGTCCCACTCATCGACATTTTTCTCTTTCTATCACTCAAGTTAGAGAACCAAAAACATACAAAGAAGCTGCTAAAAGCAAAGAATGGCTAGCGGCTGTGAATTCAGAGTTTGCATCTCTTGAGAAAACAAAAACCTGGGTTCTGGTAGACCCCCCTCCTAATGTTCCCATAATTGGAAACAAATGGGTTTTCATACTCAAATTCAAACAAGATGGGACAATAGACAAATACAAAGCACGCCTAGTAGCCAAAGGCTACACTCAGACACCTGGTGTAGATTACATGGACACTTTTTCACCTGTTGTTAAAATGACCACAGTCAGGATCCTTTTAGCTTTAGCATCCATTTACCAATGGCATCTGGAGCAGTTAGATGTCAATACAGCATTCCTCCATGGTGATTTACATGAAGATGTGTATATGAAATTGCCTCCAGGATTGCAGGTTCACCCATCAGATCAACATAAGGTCTGCAAACTTACAAAATCACTATATGGCTTAAAACAAGCTAGTAGACAGTGGTTTGAAAAACTTGCAGCTACCTTAGAGACCCTTGGCTACCAGAAATCTCACAGTGACTACTCTCTATTCACCAAATACTCTGGTCCATCATTCACAGCTCTACTAGTATATGTCGATGACATTATACTCACTGGAAACAACATGGATGAAATCAATTATGTAAAACAGCAGTTAGACATTGCTTTCGCAATCAAGGATCTTGGTAAATTAAAATACTTCCTTGGAATGGAAGTTTCAAGATCAGAAACTGGAATTCATTTATGTCAACGCAAGTATACACTTGATTTGCTGTCTGATACAGGTTTTCTAGCTTCTAAACCTGCAACTACCCTTCCATTCCTGCCACTCATCTCTCTTCTCATGATGGTACTCCATTAAATGACCAAGATCATAGCAGTTACAGAAAACTCATTGGTCGATTACAGTATCTTTGCAATACACGACCTGACATATGTTACACTGTCAATCAACTCAGTCAGTTTGTTGATTCTCCTACTTCAGCACACGAACTAGCCACTCACAAGATCTTTCGATACCTAAAAACCACTCCTGACAGAGGATTGTTCTTTCCTTCTAACTCTTCTACACTACTCACAGCCTTCTCGGATTCAGATTGGGCTGGATGTCCAGATACTAGAAGATCAGTAACTGGTTTTTGTGTGTTTTTAGGTAACTCCTTGATCAGCTGGCGCTCGAAGAAACAACAAACAATTTTGCGCTCCTCAACAGAAGCTGAATACAGGGCGTTGGCGGACACATCTCAGGAGCTTCAATGGATGACAACACTCTTCCATCAACTTCCAGTTCAACCTCCGCTTCCATACACCATCTACTGCGATAGTCTCTCTGCTGTCAAAATGACAGAGAAGCCTGTCCAGCACGAACGCACCAAACACATTGAAGTCGACTGCCACTTTACTCGAGACCAAGTTCTTGCTGGGAAACTAAAGGTTCAACACATCTCCACGACACTCCAGCTAGCTGATCCTTTCACCAAAGCGTTGCCTGTACACACTTTCATCTACCTTATCTCAAGCTAAACCTGAAGTCTATCCATGCTTAGCTTGCGGGGGGTATTAGATGATAAGGATCATTCTGTAAATAACCAAATAGCTTAGGATTAGTTCAGTAATAGTAGAATGTAAATAAGACCTATAATGTAAAATAGCTAGGTTGTTACAACGGTATTTCCCTCCGTTGAACTCTGTAACCCGAGTATAAAATCAGCTTTACAAGCTGAACTCTGTACGTTTTTCTTCCTTCAATTGAGAAATTCTTCCTTCAATCAGAATTCTAGCACAGACTCTACGGCCTCTATAATTTAACAATCATGCTCATAAAACAAGATTCCACAGTTTCCCTGCTTGTGCTAGCAAGTTCCCACCAGTTTAGGAATCCAACAGAAAACAGGGGAAAGCGAAAAAAGCTTCAACCTTGCCGCTGGCTGATAAGGATACTATTTAGTTTACTTAATTATGTATTTACTTCATTATTGTAAGTTGTTAAGCCCACTAAGCCAGTTCCTCCTTTGTAGGCTACGTGGTTCATTTTTATGTTTTACAGTGGGTATTTAATCCCACTAATCAATCTAATGAGATAAATAATTCCAAACCATCACATGGTATCAGAGCTAGGCTCAGATCCCCTTAACCGTAAAATCTTCTTTCCTTCTTTTTCTTTGCCAAATTTCGTAAACCTCGCTCAAAATCCCTAGTCTCTTTCTGCGGCAATCTTAATTCCCCTCTACTCGTTGTTTTCTTTTGCTCTCACTTTCCTTCTCTTCTTGGATGCACTATGTCTGGCGAAACGGTGATCAATGTCAATGACATAACCACCATCATCACGCTCAACCCCGCTTCTCAACTGCCTACCAAGCTCGACGGTGATAATTTTCCGACTTGGAGAGCGCAGCTCCTGACCCTTCTACGTGGTCTTGATCTTCTGAAGTTCCTTGATGGCTCCCATCTAGCCCCGGCCGCCACCGCCCCTACCGCCGAGCGCACCCTCGGTACAGGCAAGATCAGCTTCTTTTTCATGCCATTCTTGCTTCTATGGCTCCTGCTGTTGTGCCCTATGTTTCATCTGCTCCCTCCTCCCGTGAGGCCTGGACAATCTTGGAGCGTATGTTTGCCAGCCAGTCCCGCCAACGTGTCATTCATCTCAAAGAAAAGTTTGGGCGTGAGACTCTTGGTAATCGTCTGGTTGCTATCTATCTACAAACCATGCGCACCTTTGCTGCCGAATTGGACCTCATCAATGCGCCTGTCTCGAATGAGGATCTCATCCTCTATGTCCTTCGTGGTCTCCGTGAAGCATATGACCATATTCCCGCGGCAATCCGTGCCCGAGACAACCCCATTCATTTTGACGACCTTCGTGATCGACTTGTTGATTTTGAAGTCGATCTTGCCGCACACCGATCTGCTCAACCGCCTGCTCCCACCACGGCATTCTCTTCTGTTCGTGGTCGCCAAGGTTCTCTTGGTCGGTATGTCAAGCCTACTGGTAGCTCTCACGGCTATTCTCCTGCCCGGCGTAGTTCCAGTCCTCGCTCTTCCGGTGCGTATTCCCCGTCAAGGTCGTCTGTGGGTTATGTCTTTCCTGCTCCGTCGCTTCTAGGTCATCCCCGCCTTGTTTGCCAGTTCTGCGACCGCACCGGACACTCTGCCAAGGATTGCTACCGTATTCGTGGTCCTCCCCATGCTCATCACACCACTGTTTCTATCGTCCTCATCCGGTTGGCTTGTCGACTCGGCCGCAACAAACCATATGACTTCGGATCTTGGTCATCTCTCTCTCTATACTAATTACAATGGACCAGATGAGGTCCTCATCGGGGATGGGTCAGGTCTGCAAATTACACATATTGGCAATTCCTTTTTATCCTCTAGCATGTCTCGTTTGGCTCTGCATAATGTGCTATGTGTTCCGCCCATTAAACGACGTTTGCTCTCTGTTGCTCAATTGTGCAAGACTAATCCTGTGTCGGTGAAATTTTCTTCTGATTTTGTTGTTGTCAAGGATCTAGCCACGGGGGCGCACCTGCTTCGAGGCCAGAATAAGGGGGACGTCTATGAGCTACCAACGGCAGCTTCACCTATTCGCCTTGCTTTATCTGCTTCGCGGACATCCTCTGCTGTGTGGCATCAACGCTTGGGTCATCCTCATTTCAAACTTTTATCTCTTATTCTTTGAAAACAATCTTTGCCGGTCACTTCATCACCCTCAAACTCTTCTTGCGGTTCATATTCTTTGCATAAGAGTCATAAACTGCCCTTCTCTGTTACCAGTTTGTCTAGTTCTCGCCCTTTTGATTTATTATACATGGATGTCTGGGGCCTTCTCCTGTGGTTTCACATGATAATTTTCATACTATTTAGTTATTGTGGATCATTTCACTCGCTATACGTGGTTTATCCTCTATCTCGCAAATCTGATGTTCATCGCATTTTTACCATGTAATAAAGCCATGATTGAAAATTATTTCCACACTACTATTCGTCGTGTCTATAGTGATGGCAGTGGTGAATTTCAAAAGTTGTGCTCTTTCTTTCAAACTCATGGCATCACTCATCTCTTGACACCACCACATACTCCTCAGCACAATGGCTTAGCCGAACGCAAACACCGACACGTTGTTGAAACAGGTCTTACCCTTCTTCACACTGCGCACCTCCCTCTCTCTTTTTGGTCTCATGCTTTTCAAGCCGCCATTTATCTTATAAATCGCCTACCATCCTCCTCACTTCATGGTGCTACTCCATATTTTTCTCTCTTTAATGAAACACCCAACTACAACAAACTCTGTGTTTTTGGTTGTGCTTGCTATCCATGGTTACGCCCATATTCCCCTCACAAACTGTCACCACGATCCCGTCAATGTATATTTCTTGGCTACTCTCTCACTCAGAGCGCCTAATACTGCTACGATTCTCTCCATCAGCGTCTCTACACATCTCGCCATGTTCACTTTGAAGAGTCTATTTTTCCTGGTATAAAATCCATTCCCACTCCCTCCTATGACCCTCCCAATTAGCTCGCACACACCTCCCCATCCCTCACAGTGATCTCTCTCCCTCTACCCCCTTGTCCATCATCTCCGCCAGCTCCCATTACTACTGCTGCTTCGCCACCATCGACTGCTCATAGACAGCCTCCCTCTTCTACTCCGGCTGCGTCTCATGCTGCCTCCTCACAACACAATCAGCAACCACCACCACCGGTAAAGTCTTTCCGTCTCCCTATAACCCGCAGCCAACATGGCATTTTTCGGCCCAAGAAACTGTTTCTTTCACAAGTTGAATCCATTGATTTTGAGCCCACTCAACTCCGCCAGGCTCTCGCCGATCCCCGCTGGAGTGCAGCCATGACTGCCGAGTTTCAGGCTTTACTCTCCAACAACACGTGGTCTTTGGTTCCTCGTCCTGCTGGTCATAACATTGTGGACTGTCGATGGGTGTTTCGTATCAAACGCAATCTGGATGGTTCTATTGATTGTTTCAAAGCCCGTCTCGTGGCCCGAGGCTTCACACAGTGGCCAGGGGTTGACTTTCATGAGACATACAACCCTGTATTGAAGCCAGTCACCATTCGCACTGTCTTCACCATTGCTCTATCCCATCAATGGCCAGTCTTGCAATTTGATGTCAACAACGCTTTCCTACAGGGCTCTCTTCAGGAGACGGTATATGTGGCTCAACCTCCCGGTTTTCGTGATCGTGCTCATCCTGATCATGTTTGCAAGCTTAATCGGGCCATTTATGGTCTTCGGCAAGCTCCACGGTCATGGTACATGGCTCTGTTAGGTTTTCTGGTCCAAAAAGGGTTCGTCAAATCGCAGTGTGATGCGTCCTTATTCATTTATCATCATCAAGGTGTCACTAAGCTAGTTTACTTAATTATGTATTTACTTCATTATTGTAAGTTGTTAAGCCCACTAAGCTAGTTCCTCCTTTGTAGGCTACGTGGTTCATTTTTCTGTTTTACAGTGGGTATTTAATCCCACTAATCAATCTAATGAGATAAATAATTCCAGGCCATCACACTGGCTGTACAAGAAAAGTAGAGTTCAACTCTCCGTGGAAAAGAGACATCCGGAAGAAATAGTTTTGGGAGGCTAAATATCGGATTGGGTTTCCGAGAGCGGAGGCGCCACAAGCTTTGCGGTGATGCTGGTAACCGAACCGTCATTGCCATTTCCAGAAACGCAGTAGAGCTGCGGCTCAAGATAGGTTGCATTGGCTCAAGATAGGGTGCATAACCATACACCCATCAATAACTAAATCTGGACCCTTTATTTAAAAAATCCAGATCTGAGGATGAATAATTAAAGGTCATTTTTATTTTTTCTAGCTTTCTTAATCGGCTCATATCTTCTTCGTTTTAACTCGGATTTTAATTTTATTTGCATAGATGGAACTCGGATTTTTAATATTTTTTTAGAAAAAAAAATTTATTGCCTCTCGGTACCAACTGCATACCATATGGTATCTTCTTCGTTTTTAATTCGTTTTTGAAAACGTTTGCATAGAAGGAACGAATTGATCATGATCTATTGGATCTACAAATTTCTGGGTGAACAAATTACAGGACCAAAAAATACCATACAATACCACCCTGGTACGTGTCATGTATTCAACCATCCTACAGTCTTGGTTTGTTCATACCACCATAGTACGCTTTTCAAACCATATGTATGCTCTTATTTCAATACCAGTCAATACCATATGGTATAGAATGGTAAAAAATGACTCAATTTTTTTTCGAAAAATATATCAAAACGGATATCATTTTGAAGAGCACAATTAATCTGATCTAACTGTGCAAAAAAAAAAAATTCGACTTTAAACTAGTGAGAAATCGTCCGTCAAAAATTAAGAAAGGGAAAATTAAAGGCTTTCCAGGAGAGAGAGGGATTATGATGTCATGCTGATGTGGACGGGTTACTCATGGTTACTCACCATAAGGTTACTGACCTGATCCGTTCCCGGCAAGGACCAGGATACCGTACCGGACCGGCCGGTCGGACCGGAAAAACCGGAAACCGGACCTGGCCCGGCACAATAGGGCTGTGTACCACCCAAGAACCTTCCGGGCGGTATTTACGGTCGGACCGGAATGGGCTGAAATTTCGGCCGGTTTTATTAAAACCGGCGGTCCCTTTAATTTAACTTCAACGGCGCCGTTTTTGACCAAGTAAAAAAAAAATTTGAGGAGAATCAGAGACGAAACCCTACCTCCGGCTGCTGCTGGCTAGCGCTCCTCTCTACACTCTCCTCTCGTCTCCCCCGCGCCGCTCTGCCTCTCAATTCTCAAACTCCTTTCCATTTTCTCACCACCGGCGAAGCGGCGTCCCCAGCATCAGACACTCCCACCGGTCCCCAGCATC